ATCTTACCTGCCTGTTTGAGAATGTGGTGGATATGCACTACATGGTCTACTTCAACTTCTTCGGCTGCGTCCTGCCTCCTCTGCTTATCATGCTGGGCATCTATGTGAAGATCTTCACTGTGGCCCGCAAGCAGATGCACAAGATTGAGCTCAAGTGCTCGGTGAGCAGCAATGGGGGCAGCCAACATCACGGGCTGCTTCAGCGCGAGATCCGTGCTGCCAAGTCTCTGTCCATCATCGTGGGGCTGTTTGCCCTCTGCTGGCTGCCCGTGCACATCCTCAACTGCCTGACCCTGTTCTACAAGGAGCTGCAAAAGCCGCCCCTCGTCATGTACATAGCCATCATGCTGTCGCACGCCAACTCAGCTGTCAATCCCATTATCTACGCCTACCGCATCCAGGACTTCAGGAACACCTTCCGCAAAATCCTGACCCGTCAAGTCCTGTGTCAGAGGGAGGAGCTGTACCTCCACTCCTCCAAAGGGAGCAGGCGGAACAGAGACCAGATCCACATGACCATTGACCCTTTACTCTGAGGGGTGGGGCTGCAGGCCGGGCGTGTGACTCAAGGAGAGCCCCAACTCCTCAAAACACTACCCATGTTCATGTTTTTGTTGTATTTTATTATTGAATGTCATTTTAAGTGAGATTATAAATGTTTACAGTACAAAGAGAAGGGGTATAATGATAAATTAAGCTGAATAGATTAATCTGTCAAATATGCCTTGAATGTGGAGTGTTATTTATGAGTTAAGGTGAGTATCAGGCCAGCTGATGAAAAGCTAGCTTGGTCCCAGATCTGTTTGTGCCGTCTTTCTAACTCCTATGGTCATTGTCATGGCCATAGGAGTTAGCAAGACCGCAGAAACATCTGGGACCAGACTAGTGAAAATCGTATTTACTTTAAAGCTGGAAACCGTACTTGGTACAACTGCCACGTCCGTTTGCGATATTACAACAACTAAGAAGTTACTTCAAACAACAAATATAGTTTTTTCCCCCTCGGACATCATTGCACGCATGATAGAACAGCAGAGTATGTAGGCCTACTGCAATTGTTTTTACCATGATGCTGGATGCTCCTCTCCTCTGTTTCATCAACAAAACAAAAACAATAACACGTACTGGGGCGAATAGTGGCACTGTTTTACCTTATGCAGATTTCAGCTTTAACTGTTGAAGGATTATTATTTTATTTTGTTGAAGCCAACTGGATTTGCAGGACTGTGAAATTAATCCACTGATGAATCCATTACTACGAGATAACACCTAATTTACCATATTTACACATTGACCATATCATAACTTAAAACACTCATTTTTCTAAGCCTTAACTTTCCAAAAATAATAGGCATCAAGTGTTCAATGTTGTTTACCGTTTGGTATTTTATTTGTCATGTAGCTCAAATTTGAGAAACCTGGCTGAGGTGTGTACTGTATTGTTCGTCATGGGCTATATCGGACTTCCTCAGTACTGGTGTTGCGTAAAAACATACATAGGAAACTCTGCCCAGTGGAACCATTTACGACTAAACAGCAACACATCCAGTGAGAGGGCACAAGACACACAACACAGCTCGGATTGGGAAAGTATTTTTACACATAATATAAACTGGAGTGTTATTGTGCTCTGCTTGAATTTAGCAAATGTCATGGCTTCTTTAGTGTCATGGAGAAAGCTCAGGAATATACAGAATGTGGTGGGAAGACTGACTGAGTCATGTGGGAAAAATACATCTAAAATTCAGACACAGAATACTTAGAGGTTGGCAAGAAAATCATGTCAATCATTACTTACAAATACATGCCTCATTATTTGAAATTCTTGATTACTTAGTTATGTAATCCCACTTTAAAATTATAGATTTACATTATTATTCCTAACACAATGCAGACATATTTTGGGGTCTTGTTCAACATATCAGAAAACAAATCTATGATGTGTTATATATTGCACATCTGAATGTCACTCTCTTCCCTTGGCATCCCTAGAAGGTCCATTATACAACCCTCACATGGACTAACACACACACCTCACATGGACACAGCTGCGATCGTTTGCCCACCTGGCAAATTCCATTCCACCACAGGCCACCATCATCATAGTGTCAACTCTGACTAACTGTCTCTCTGTAATAAAGGAGAAGCGAGAGAGCCTGGCGTCTTCACAAAGGACACTGGGATGTAAGTGTCACCTCATAAAAACAAACCAGGCGGCTTTTAACACTAAATATTGTCAAACTGTTGGATCAACCACTTCTACTGCGTACGGTCTGGCCTTGTCCTAGCATAGCAGCTAAGAGCCATGTGGCTCCATCCCCCTCACTCAGTCAGAACTCCTAAATTCACAACTTCACTACACCAAGCCAAATCAGTCGATGCAATGCTGAGGAGGTCCGTCTTTGTTGAACGAAACAAGTACCCAGGGTTGGGGTCAATTCTGAATTGAGTTGCGAATTGCTCTTTAATGACAATTACATTCTTGAATTTGTATTGGCCACACCTGACAGGAAGCAGAATTTGAATTGAATTTGCATTAAAGAAAGTATAGTTAAATTAAATGAAATTCAATGAAATTAAAATGGTATATTTATTCTGAATTACTTTAAATTAAATTATACTTCCTTCAATTCAAATTCTGCTTATTTTGGGGTGTGGCCAATTCAAATTAAATTCAGAGATTTTGAATTGACCCCAACCCTGCAAGGAACATGAGGCCTAACGAGATTGTAGGGTTTACAAGTTTTTGTTCTGTGAAAGACAAAAATATGCTTCATTGGTTTAAGTGTGTAATTGTATTTTTGTACCAGTGAGTCTGACACAGTTCTGTAAATAGACGTGCATCGTTCTCGGTTTGAAGATGTCTCTCCCTCTACTTGAACACCAACTGATGTACTTGCCCTTGTTCTGGTGGTTAGCATTGTGGACAATGGCCTCTTTTCTAAGAAGCAGTGAAAGTCTAATTTCTTTTCAACTGGCTGAAATTAGATGTGGCTTTCTATCAAAGACAGGAAACCAAACCTCCACAAAATAGTTCCAGTTTAACGAGTCTCAGTTTGGATGTAATGGCACACAATTGGTGCTACAATTAAGGTGTTTTTCCCCTCTACTATGAGAAGAGCCTCCTTGGTGTGCTATTAAACTGTGTTGTGTACTGTTTTTGAGTGTACACAAAGTTAAAGAGATTGAACGGTATCTAAAATACTTACAAATTTGTAACAGATTGTAAGAATTGGAATTCGTAACATATCATATAAACTGCAGGAGAGGAACAAAAATTGCAGGACGTAACATATCATACGAAATGGATGACATTTTTGGGGACCAGTTTTCTCTTGTGAGCGCTACTTTCAAAACTACTGCCTGAAATGTAGCCCTGTGTAGCTCAGTTGGTAGAGCATTGTGCTTGCAACCCCAGGGTTGTAGGTTCGTTTCCCACGGGGGGCCAGTATGAAAAATGTATGCACTCACTAACTGTAAGTCGCTCTGGATAAGAGTGTCTGCTAAATGACTAAAATGTAAAATTTAAATTATACAAAACCTCTGTAGCATCACTTTAACTTCTATAATGAATATAAGACAAGCGTTGTCTTAGCACAGGGGTCCAACAAATACAGTATTTCCATTGTGTTTAATTTCTTAGTTTTTCATTTCTTCACCATACACATCAACCTTCACCTCTCTACAACTTCAAGGGCTAAACTATAGGAGTGTGCCAAACTTCAAGTACATTCCATTGGATACTGCATTGTACTGGTATTACTATTATTTGTTCACTCAAATGTGACCTTAGCATCAAGATAAGGGCTCAATTCCATCAAAATTCAGTAAATAAACTGAAATCCAATTTCCTTAAATGAGAAAAATGTGGAATTGGAATTTCAGTTTACTTCCTGAGTTGATTGAATTGAAATGGAACTGCCCCAACCCTGCAAGACACTGTGGGTTGTAAAGCCTTCAACAAGTGTGACTTCTGAATGATGCCTTCCAACGATTTAAGAAGAAAAACATTAAAGAACAAGCTGATGTAGTTTTCCAACCTGTGTGTTTGCAAATGTGTTACAGTATTGATGTCACTAATCAGTAGCCTAAACAGTCAACTGTGGTTCACGTCAAATCAAATCAAAGTTTATTGGTCGCGTACACAGATTTGCAGGTGTTATAGCAGGTGCAGCGAAATGCTTATGTTACTAGCTCCAACAGTGCAGTCAATGATTGGAGCTTCAATGATGTTCAATGTTTTTCCTGCTCAAATAATTATTATTTCACTCAACTGACTACAACTGTAAACCAATACTGCTATTTAACATGAGGAAATCTGTATGGTGAATTATTTTGTTAATAAAAGCTATGTTCATATTGTTACAGATCAGACTCATATTCTTACAGGAAGAGTTTACAAACCTACATATAACAATTTTCATTTATTTAGCTCACAATGTTTTAAGTTCAGAACAAATACTTAAATATACAAAACAAAAACATCTTTGTACTCTCTGGTCACTGAACGACTGGACTGAGTAAAATGTCTTAACTTTACAGTTCCCTTTCAGCAGGCAGCACCATATGGTGACTGACTTGTCTTCAGATAAAAGGAGTCTTAAAATACAGTCAATGAACAGATGCACATTCTCTGGCAACAGATTAAGAACACAAACACACTCACAAAAAACAGCAACATCTGTTGACTTTTGATTTTCAGAAAGCAGAGAACCACACCAGAGTTCTAGAAGAACAGCACAATGACCTAAAAGCCATAAAAGTAATCTTCACACATGCAGACAGACTGGAGGAGACCATACAGCAGCAGTAGACTTTGCCTTTTTTAACGTCTTTCCTCAAGATGTGTTGTAGTAGGTTGGTCTCAGATGGTGCTGTGTGGCTTTGAGTCTGGATCAGTGACCTGTTGGGTTGTGCTCTACGTGTCTGTGCTTTGGGTCTGTAGCTGCGGTCTGGTGTTCTACATGTAGGTCTGGATGAGTGACCTGGGGTCTGGTGCTCTACGTGTCAGTTCTTACTGCTCTCCCAGAGAGGATGCTGGACATCTGCTGGTCAGACAGGGTCTCCTGCTGGGACAGCCCCATGGCCTGACTGAGGTAGGCAGCCAGGATGTGCTTACACTGACACAGGAGGAGGAATGTTAGGGAAGTCACAGTACAATACAATGGTGTGTGTGTGTGCGTGTGTGTGTAAACCATGATGAAGGCAGCTTAGTTGTTCACTAGCTTATTAAATCTATTGCATTGGAGCCATGAGAGTGTGCAGCTTTTCGTTTCTCATTGTGTGTGTGTGTGTCACTAAAGACAGAATTCAAGTTCAGGCAAGTTTGCAGAGATGCTTATAATTATGATTAATATACAGGTAACTGCCAAAATAATGGAAACACTTGAGTAAATGAGGGATACAAAGTATATTGAAAGCAGGTGCTTCCACACAGGTGTGGTTCCTGAGTTAATTAAGCAATAACATCTCATCATGCTTAGGTTCATGTATTAAAAATGCCCAGTTGCCCATTATTTTGGCTAACCGTGGCTAGAAGAAGAGATCTCAGTGACTTTGAAAGAGGGGTCTTAAATGAGCATAGGGGGTTTAAAGGGTGTGTGTGTGTCAGTCTCAGTCACCAGATCTCAACCCATTTGAACACTTGTGGGAGATTCTGGAGCGGCCTGAGACAGTGTTTTCCACCACCATCAACAAAACAGAATGGTGTCCCATTCCTCCAATAGAGTTCCAGACACTTGTAGAATCTGTGCCAAGGCGCATTGAAGCTGTTCTGGCAGCTCGTGGTGGCCCAATGCCCTATTAAGCCACTTCATATTGGTGTTTCCTTATTTTGGCAGTTACCTGTATGCATTACTTTTTTTTAAACTTATGGTTATTACATTTATAAAAAATGCATAATGCCTCTAAGATGTCAGTATTTGTCATACCAATGTAATAAGGTAGGCAGAATGTATTATATTCCCAAAAAACATTGGGCAGAAATACTTCTCAGAGTAACAGTACAGTACAGTGGTGTCTCTCCTGCTGGGCTGTGGACCTAGAGCAGGGAGGCAGGGCTGTCATGGTTTGTAAACTGTCCAGGCAATAGACTCCATGCGAAACCCCCAGTGGCACACTAGGGTGGCCTACTTCTATGTGGTAGACGTAGACCCATGATGCCGATGATGACGGGGTCTAAAGTGAGACTGTGGCCCTGCCCCTGGTCTGCCCTAACCGACCGATGACTGGGTCGCAATGACGATGACAGGGTCTGCAGTGCCCTTAAAACAACACAGACAACTCTGTCTCTATGTGGGAGAGAGGGGGAGTAGTGTGGTCAACCTCACTGTGAGGTATGGATATATTCTGTATTCAAGGAAATATTCAGAGGCAGCTTAGGGTTGATGGGTTGATGGGTCTTTAGGGTATTTTTGCCTTTGCGCTCCTGGGTTTCATACGGGATGAACAGGTTTAAATGAGATGCAAAAAGAAAACACTAGTGCCAGGGTCTTGCTAATAATGATCAAATAAGGATCTAGTTTGTCTCATGGACGTCAACGGTAGAAAGATACAGACCGTAAATATAAATGGTGGATTGGAAAGGGCATGCATTATGCTATACAGAATGCTTCTCTTTCTGATATGCATTTCATGGGTAAGGGATCAGTCTATGCCAGTGAAGACCCACCCTTTAGTCTCTTGCTGCTTTCCGTTTCTCAGGCTGATTTTAGCATCACCCCTCTAGGGACTGGAGTCGTCATTATGCAAGGGGTAGCTAGGAGTCAAAGTTGTTGTAGCAAAAACAGATATTTAGAGCTACATTTCAAAAATAAACAATCAAAGATGAGACCAGACCAAAATATGCCCTGGCTGCTCAGTGCAACTGGTATACAGATCAACATGTGACTGCCTTCTGGGGGGGAAACCCTGAATGGTGGAATTCCGCATCTTGTCTTGCTCAGTTATGCATGACTAGAACAGGTGGTGTGTGTGTGTAGGTTTTGTATGATGTCTTTGTAGTTTATGGCTGTCTGCTCTATTAATGATTAATAAATTATTATGGCTGTGCTCACCAGCAGGCTCTCGTTCCTCCTGAGCACAGCGTAGGCGAAGGCTGGGCAGGAGCAGTAGTGACAGGAGGTGTAGCAGGTGTACAGCAGCCCTGACCCTCCAATCACCTTCAACAAAACAAACACGGACACAGTCAAAAACAGGTAGAAGTCAAACGAAGAGCTGGCCAAAACCACAGTTGTACTGGAGAGCGGATTCATGCAAACATGGAAAAAAATAGGTAATGGAAAGACTTAAATATATCACAGTGTTGTAGGAGAAGAGCAAGAATGTCTTGTCTCTAGCAAGTACTTAAACAAACCTATCAAACAATTATGTGAATTCTGTACTGATACTGCATTCGACCTGCCAGTGAAAACAGCTCGAGTCAATTCCACACATGTTCACAGCAGCTGAGGAGCACTGTAGACAGTAGAGCAGCGTGAGGAATGAGCTCCTCCAACACATCCCACTAACCTTGGGGACTGTTCAGGAGGTTGTTATGTTACAGAACATTAAGATACAAATGTATGGTGTAGAACAGATATGATTGTCTGTCAGATAGAATATGGAATTGTGTCAGCTGTATTCATTTTATGTCTATCCGCAACGTTCACAATATTTCACATCACTGAATACACCCCTGGCATTTTTATTGGCAGACTAAATAGCCTTGGTTTCTCAAATGACTGCCTCGCCTGGCTCAAATGACTGCCTCGCCTGGTTCACCAACTACTTCTCAGATAGAGTTCAATGTGTCAAATCGGAGGGCCTGTTGTCTGGACCTATGGCAGTCTCTATGGGGGTGCCACAGGGTTCAATTCTTGGGCCGACTCTTTTCTCTGTGTATATCAATGATGTCGCTCTTGCTGCTGGTGACTCTCAGATCCACCTCTACGCAGACGACACCATTTTGTATACATCTGGCCCTTCATTGGACACTGTGTTAACAAACCTCCAAACGAGCTTCAATGCCATACAACACTCCTTCAGTAGCCTCCAACTGCTCTTAAACACTAGTAAAACTAAATGCATGCTCTTCAATCGAACACTGCTGGCACCCGCCCACCCGACTAGAATCACTACTCTCGACGGGTCTGACCTAGAGTATGTGGACAACTACAAATACCTAGGTGTCTGGTTAGACTGTAAACTCTCCTTCCAGACTCACATTAAGAATCTCCAATCCAAAGTTAAATCTAGAATCGGCTTCCTATTTCGCAACAAAGTCTCCTTCACTCATGCTGCCAAACATGCCCTCGTAAAACTGACTATCCTACCGATCCTTGACTTCGGCGATGTCATTTACAAAATAGCCTCCAACACTCTACTCAGCAAATTGGATGTAGTCTATCACAGCATTAGGAAGTCCTTTCAGACAACTTTACTCATTGCAAACGCCTGTAAATGACGTATAACGAGTTACTTACTTCGGTTTCCTAGAGTGGGGTTTCAAATGTCTCCAAGGGGACCCCTTCTGCCGTGAAGGAGCTTGTTCCACATGTTTTGCTGTGCGCTATGCTCCCAAGGAAACCACAGCCAGTGTGACGCATGCCTGCTTTGGGTCCTCACTACATGTTCGTCGTCAAACCCACTGGCTCCAGGCCATCTATAAATCACTGCTAGGCAAATCCCGCCTTATCTTAGCTCATTGGTCACCATAGCAGCACCCACCCGTAGTCTGCGCTCCAGCAGGTATAACTCACTGGTCATCCCCAAAGCCAACACCTCCTTTGGCGCCATTCCTTCCAGTTCTCTGCTGCCAATGACTGGAACGAATTGCAAAAATCTCTGAAGCTGGAGACTCTTATCTCCCTCACTAACTTTAAGCATCAGTTGTCAGAGCACCTTACCGATCACTGCACCTGTACACAGCCCATCTGAAATTAGCCCACCCAACTACCTCATCCCTATATTGTTATTTATTTTGCACCCCAGTATCTCTATTTGCACATAATCTCTTGCACATCTATCATTCCAGTGTTAATACTAATTGTAATTATTTTGCACTATAGCCTATTTATTGCCTTACCTCCATAACTTGCTACATTTGCACACACTGTATATATATTTTCTGTTGTATTTTTTGACTTTATGTTTTTTTTACCCCATATGTAACTCTGTGTTGTTGTTTTTATCGCACTGCTTTGCTTTATCTTGGCCAGGTCGCAGTTATAAATGAGAACTTGTTCTCAACTGGCTTACCTGGTTAAATAAAGGTGAAATAAAAACGTGTCGCCTATGGCCCCATGCAAACATTTTAAATATGTATAGTTCCCTTTTTACTTGCATATTTCACTGATCTGACAGAACTAGGTTCGAGAAAGAAAGGTTGTCTTCACCTATCCAATCATTTCAAATCAGTATTCCACCTTAAGGAAGGAAGGAGAGGAAGTATGTATTTTTAAAGAATCCAAATGTTAAACATGTATTGGGTTTGAAAGTGGAAGACAATAATTACGTGGAGCTAGACAAGTGTGTCCAAATATTGCATACAGGCTACTCACAACACTGTAGCTGTAAAGTCTGGCACTCGAGATTAGGTAGACAACAACTCCTGCCTCCATGCAGAACTTTCTCCATTCTGAAGATGATGCATTAGGGCATTAATTCAGAGGATTACTCAGCCTCGTCACCATAACTAATGACTCTCAACATGGCAGAAACAGGCTCCATTATTCCCCAGCCGAGACAAATTCACAGCTGTGTAGTCCCTCTAAATTACCTTCCCAGTGACCTACAAAATAAAACACCTCATTTGTAGAAAAGTGACACTTCATTATAAATGAGTAACTCTTCAGGGAATATTACATTGAGTCAATTTATTAAAAGTGACAAAAGCAGAGTTGTGAGACTGTGATCCACCGGGCTGAGGGTACTGGAGGGAGACTGTAACGGTGGTGTGTTATGTATGAAAAATGTATGCACTCACTAACTGTAAGTCGCTCTGGATAAGAGCGTCTGCTAAATGACTAAAATGTAAAAATGTGTGTACACGTTCACTCCCCCTCAAGGATTTAAGAGCATTATCCTTTTCACATGTACCAGCAAACGGGTGTGATCATTCTACAGTGGTCGCTAAGGTCCCTGAAGCGTACGCTCAAACTGGTGTGATTAGAACGCTTATTTAGAACGTCCAGTTTCGATTGATGCAACAATCAGCATTTGCGCTGGCCACACTGTTTTTTCACAGAAACATTTTGCACAAACGCAGTCCTTACAAAGCTATGTCCTGAATGTGACCAGTTTATTTTTGGATGCAATGTTCAGACATTCACAGAAGTAGTGACAGCATAACCGGAAAATGTAGGCTACATTTGTCCTAGCACTAACTGATGAAAGATTGACATAACACAAGCGGTCATATTTAGATAACCCTTGGCTGACAGAAACCACAATATGAATTAGGTAATAGCAATTACTAATTATAATTCATCACGTCACGGGTGAGCTCACCATTGATCGAAATAATTGAGTAAAACACTTTCTAGTAATCGAAAGTAATCCGACGATGGGTAGTTTGTGCGCGCCGCCATGTTTGTTTTTTCGCTTCAACCAAAGAAAATAAGAGGAGAAAATATGAGTTTGGTCTGTTTGCAGTATGCTTGTTGAAGGGGGTGTTTTGTCTACGACCGTTCACTTCCCTTCATTCACTTCCGGAAGTTTACTCAAAAGATGAGAGAACCATTCCTTCAGCTCAGTATAACATCTTTGGTCTGACAGACGTTTACATGACACCCAGAATGCATTGTATAATGTCAACAAACATGGCGCCACACATAGCTGGCAAATAGCTTAGCATTAGCTCATTATAAATCAGTACAACCTTCAACAAATATTTTACACTTATCATAGGTGTCCATTACAATCTATGCAATAATCGGAATGCATTAGTTGTCACCAGTACTTGAAAACATGTGAATAAAACTGTAAATGCCAGCCAGAAAATGTGCCAGTTCGTGCAAGACTGCGCGAATGTCTGCATACTTGATCTGCGGAAACACTAGGGAAGTGCTTGGGCTCTCCTCGAAGAGAGAAGTTTGTCCGGCTCAGTAAAGCCGCAAACATAAATTGTCCGCAACACTGAAATGTGCTACTTCTATGTGGGTTCTCGCGGGACTACTTAGAGGGAAGCCGTCATGTGGCAGAGAGCTCCGAGGTTTGGAGTGACGGCTCTGTCATCAATCCCTCACTGCCAGACTCAGTTATCAGTTGCAGCCAGTCAGGGAGGACTATAGAGGACTGCTGTGGTTTGTGGGAAGTCATGACAGGCACAGGGCTGATGATGCATTTTACTCAAGGCTTCAGACTGCATCATAACTCTGGATTATTTGGCTACATTTGTCATAAAGGGGTGAAACAGTGTTTCCCCTAAATCGTTGCTGCCACTCAAAAATAAATAAATAAATAAATATATATATAAATATATATATATATATATATATATAAAAAAAAACATTTTCAGGATTGTAAAATGTTTTCAGTGTAAACTTAAACGACCCAGATATAAAGTATGTAGAAAAGATATTGGAGATAGCGCCCTTGGCTTGGTTTATATTACAAACATTTAATGTTGCCTTCCAAGAATTTTGCCCATAAAAAAAATCTGCTTCACAAAAGCATACAGTGCATTCGGAAAGTACTCAGACCCCTTGACTTTTTCCACATTTTGTTACGTTACAGCTTTATTCTAAAATTGATTAAATTGTTCCCCCTTTCGCCCCAGTCTGAGGTCCTGAGCGCTCTGGAGCAGGTTTTCATCAAGGATCATTCTGTACTTTGCTCCATTCATCTTTCCCTCGATCCTGACTAGTCTCCCAGCTGAAAAACATTCCCACAGCATGATGCTGCCACCACCACGCTTCACCGTAGGGATGGTGCCAGGTTTCCTCCAGATGTGACGCTTGGCATTCAGGCCAAAGAGTTCAATCTTGGTTTCATCAGACCAGAGAATCTTGTTTCTCATGGTCTGAGAGTCCTTTAGGTGCCTTTTGGCAAACACCAAGCGGGCTGTCATGTGCCTTTTACTGAGGAACTCTGGAGCTCTGTCAGAGTGACCATCGGGTTCTTGGTCACCTCCCTGACCAACGCCCCTCTCCCCCGATTGCTCAGTTTGGCTGGGCGGCCAGCTCTAGGAAGAGTCTTGGTGATTCCAAACTTCTTTCATTTAAGAATGATGGAGGCCACTTTGTTCTTGGGGACCTTCAATGCTGGGACCCTT